GGAGAGAAGCAGCAAACCATACATGAAATTCTTAACTATACTGCTTAACGTGATAAGGGAATGCAATCAGACACTAAATGGAGCAGAGATTTTATTAAAACAAAAAGTTTTGAGCATACATTTACCTACAGAAATGGTTGTGTTAATTACTGGACAAAAGGGTGCTTTTTTCAATACTTTGAGGTTTTTTGCCACTACTTAAAGACTAATTTAACTTTTCTTCTTCCTTTTTTTTTTTTAATAGAATGAGCATATAAGTCAAAATAAATATCTAAACCTGCTTATGACACAGTGCAAATGGCTTGCCTCTTCCCCATTGCATGCCCCAAATGGTGATACCAGAAAGCTATGTGATACCTGAGGTGAGGCAAGAAAAAGGAAAACATCGACTAATCCCAGTAACTCCTGCCTTTCAATGCTCAGCTGAATTCTCTATAGAGGAAACTTGCCTTGATGACTATAGCTTACCTCTTCTCGATGTTCTTCTCCAGAGCGCTGAATATACCACCTAATAGAGGCTTGCTGGGACTTAGGAATACATTCCAGAAAAGTTGAATTAAATTCAATGCCAAAAATCACCTTTTCATCAGCAGTTTCATGACTAATGCCTGGAAAGCAAACATGGTACAGGAGATTAACCCTGACCTGGTTTTTTAAGCAATGGGAAAATAGCCTGATTCAGAACAGATGCTATAAGAGTGAGTGAATTATAAAAAAGCGAAAGGAAACTTAACTTTTAGCTTAAATTGTAACTATGAGGATTTAGAGGCGGCTGCTAACCTTTTTTTAGTGCAACTGGTTTTTAAGGAGGTCAATAAAATCTATATCATGAGCTTGCTCCATTTTAAAGTTGAGGCTTTCACCTTTGAGGAATTTAAAATCTGACCTGTATTTTTCCTACTACAAAACTACAAAATCTGAGCTAAATCTGCCAGAGGTAGTTTGTATGGTCTGGTTTGTTCATCCCAAACACTTTACAGGAGTCACAGGGCTAAAGTAAACTGCAGTTTACGTTTCTTCAGTATAAATCAAAATGCTCTGAGTCTCTTTCAGGCTAAACACTGAAGGAGCCATGAGCAGATATATTCTCCTTTCTTGGCTTTCTGTAAATCTGAGCAAGTAATTCCTCATCTCTGCATCTTCCTTTCCCTTATCTGTGTCTTCTCTGCCTTACCATCAAACTAAAGCCATTTCTTATTCCTGGCCAATAAGAGAAAGGAAGGTGAAAGCAGTGGTGTCTCCTAAATCAAAAGTTGTATCAACAACAAAACGAATAAAATTTTGGATTGCTTTTATCAATATAATAAGTACCTATATGAGGTCTATAGAAATTCAAGCTCTCTGCATTAAATGTTTTGGGTTTTTTAATTTCACTGTGCCACTGAGATTTTAGTAGAGCCAAATAACTTCATGCAGCCAATGAAGTCTCTGGGAGGGAATCTCACACAGTGGAGCACTGAATTTAAATAGGTTTGGGGGCCATAATGTTATTAATTATCACAAATGGCATAAATAAGCCAAGAGCCTGCAGTGGCACAGGTCAGCTTCATGGTTTTATGGCACGTGGGAGTCATCCCCAGGTGGATAAAATTTCTATTGGTGGAGCTACGTCAGGGCAAAGGATTAATACAAATTTCTGTGCTAAGTCACTTTACATTTGTCTAGTAAAGCCAACCCTTCCTGTATCTCTTTATTCTTCCTGGAATATGTGACACTGAGTTTTTCTGCTAAGGTTTCTATAATCTTGAGCTTTGCACAGTCTCAGATACCACTGTTTGGAGAGTCAGGGAAAGCAGCAAGTGAGGAAATTCCGGCCCTTGGGAACGAACAGAAGCTTTGTCATTGACTTTAATGGAAATGAGATTTTACCCTAACTTTTTAACCATGTCAGCAAGCATGCATGCATGCACAGACAGAGCCCTCTATACCGTGCAACAGATTTAAGGCTTTGATCTTGTGGCAAGCACCTCTGATTTTGGCACTGACTCACACCAAGATCCTCAAAGCAGCCTGAAAATAGCCAGAGATCAGTGGGAAGTGGTGGTTCGTCCCGAATCAAACGTTCAGTGCAGCGACACAATCAATACTGTTTTGACTGGATTGTTCGCTTTAATAAGCAGCTAGTGGAGACCTAGACAAACCCAAGCTTGGTTTTGAAATCTTCTCATTTATTTTATGCTGCCGCAGAGATTGCCGCATAACCGCAGGATCTCATACTGACAGTGCTCACTGTACGAAAAGTGCTGCCGTTGCCAAAGGAGCAAGCCAGGCCCTTTGGCATCTGAAAAGAGGACGTGGGAAGGGGAGGAGGGAGCTGACGAGGAGAGGAGGGGATAGACTTTTGTTAATAACAGGAGCATTTAAGTAGCTGCGGAGTGGGGAAGGGGCTGGTTTGGCAGCTGAGCTTTGGGACTTGTGTCAAGTCTATGTGGTGGAAGGGGAGAAGATGGCGTGTTCCCTGTTCACCCCTGCGGGTTTCCTCAGGGGATTATCTCCCCTGTTTCTGGATGATACATCACGCACATCCCATTAGCTACTTGTAGAGATGTGTGTGAAGTTTTTGCACCAGGGGCGCATCTGCCTCCCCTGGGTGAGCGCTAGGGAGGGTCTCCCATAAGGGGTGGGAGGGTGCTGTCCCATGATTATACCTTATCAGCCCTGGCTCTGCAAATTTAAGCACAGAAGGAGTAAAGTATATGAACTGTGGAGAAGAAGTAAAGTATATGAACTGTGGGAAAGGCAACAGCTTTAACAGTGTGTTCTGTTGAGCACAACAAGTTTTTGTAGACAAAGACCCTTACTGAAATCTTTGTTGTCAAATGATGAAAGAGCAAGAAAGGAGCAAAATACTCACTGTCTTCCACATCCCAGCACTGTGCAACGGGGTCTCCGTATTTGACATCTTGCCTTCTGGCTCGCCTATGGGAAGAGCATGCAAACTTGTAACACTTCAGGCATAATTGCTGGAATTCAACAACAAAATACAGAGGAGCTCAGCAGATGTGGACTCAGAGTGCTCCCACCCTACTGCTGACAATTACAGTCTTAACTAAAACCAGCCTCACCCTCAAAGCTGCATGTGGCCTGGAGAGATTTGTACAATTGACATCAAGAGAAGAGTCTGTAATTTTGGAAAACCACTGAGAGGGGAAAGAGAAAAAGCATGAGAAAAAATCTGCCTAGAAAAAAGAGTGTGTGATACAGTGAAAAAAAAATGCTTTAGGAGTATGAGACATCGGTCTCCTGGTGGAGTGGACTGTCTTGGAAATATCTAAAATCATCCTTAATGTTGTAAGTCTGAAAAAACTCTGAGGTTCAACAGGCGATCTACAAAACTGAGCTCAGGATCAGCCCAAGGTAATACTGACTAGTAAACTAAGCATTAAAATTAAGAGAGAAAAGCACATGGTTTAGTTTTGTAACAAACAATTGACAAATCCGACTATTTTTCATCTTTATGGACAGAAAAAATGCTTGAGACAATAGTTTGAGATAGTTTGCTCCCTTTCACAACAAACTTGCCTGCTAATCTCTGGGTGTGTTCCTTGAACTCACCATGATTTAGTGTAATTTCAGTATAATAACACTAAAAAAGAAAAAGCAAACTCCTTCTCTGTGGATAATTGTATTTATCTCCAAGAGCTACAAAAAAAAATATTTCTTAGTAGAAGAACTGGAGACCCAGGGTGGAAATTATTCCTCCCTCATAGCCATGCTGAAGGTAACAGGAGAACAGGTTCTTGAGGCCAAACTGTCCACTGTGGTAAAAGCTGTAGACATGCTGCAAGCACAGGCTGCTACACACAACAAAATTACTCAAGTTACTGATCTGCTGGAAGATTCCCAAAACCAGTCACCCATCCCTTGTTTTGGAGCCACAGACTTTTGGCCTTCCCACCAAACTGCACATCTGTTAAAAAGCATGGACCATCAATCTCCATGTCCCAGCCCACCTCAGGCTTCAGCAAGCCTCACGTGTCACTAACTTTGCAGTGAGCCTGAACACTTGCTTTTCTCCTTTCATTTACGCTTTTCTGAATTTAGTTTGCTTTGTCTTTGAGGGAAAACACATAAAGTTCCTTGACACCATGACACGATAACCCATGAGTCATTAACATCAATGGTTTGCCTAATTGCTCGAGTCCCAGCCCTGCAACCCCTACGGCAGAAAGTCTCATTACAGAGCCTAAACTCAGACTGCAACCTCCAGCCCCCACTGCAAGAAGTACTGTCAGGAAGGCTTCATCCAAAGGGGAATGAAGAGGCTGTGAAGGACTGGCTCAAGGAATGAGCTCACAGCTCTGGCTAAATCATCCAAAAACACCAAGAGGTACATCCAGTCACTTAGGTCCTCCACTGCTAAAGCTTGCAGCAAGTCTAGATCCATGCAGATTCATACTGCTGTCCTAGCTGGCAGGTACAGATAGTTCAGATTAAGATTCCTTTGCTGTGGAAAAACTTCTCCAGATACAGTCAGATCACAGTAGTTAAAACTCGGTCTCCCTCTCATGGCTAGACCACAAATTCAACTGATGAGAGTGACACATCTTGAACCAAATTATGCATTTAATTATCTACCTCTTGGAATACCATGTTAAACTCCACTTCATAACTATGGTGGTGCATTATGCAAAGGGTTGAAGCTTAGGAGAGTTTCTTGCATCTCAGGCAAAGTCAGACACAACCCAGACCTCCATCAGAACATCTCGTGCCTTAAAGCATTCAACATAAAAAAGGGAAGTGACGGATTTATGATGTTAGCTGCAGTAGCCGAGTTACTGTCACACACATGTAAACAGAGCTATGTCGTCTTCATAGCTATTCAAGCAAAAATGTGAAACATTGCCAGAGTACAACTGAATTTTAAGGGAAATTACATGCTAAGTAGAAAGGCAACACTTTCTGATTGGGAATCTCTAAAATTCTTGCAAGCAGCAATATCTTTTAGAGCGTGTCGCCTGCTTTCTTTTTTTTTTTCCTTACCTTTTAGAAGTGGGGGCATATCTGGAACATGAGTTTCCATCCCATGCGCAGTATGGGTCTCTGGCAAGGCAGCAGTCTGCACAAGCCTTCCCATACGTGTGACATCTGTGCAGAGAGAGCTGAACCAATCCATCCCTGGAACCAATGTACAATTGTTGCTGCAAATCAGGCAAAGCAAATGAATTAGTAGTGTTGTCCAAGTAGACTGTTAAAAAAAACTTCCCTTCTTCAGTGCCACACTTGCAGACTTTCAACCTTGTCCCAGATTTTACAAAACAAGGGAGAATTCCTCCTTCACCATAAAATGTTTCTCAGGGCTCAGTGTGAACTGGCCATTTCTCACCCATCCCTGACAACAAGGCAGAGAGGAGAGGGGATGCAGCCCTGGGGCGAGCCATGGGGCATGATAGCCATGACATTAAGAATCTGGAGTGACCTTGTGTGAATAAAATTTCATCTTCTTCTTCTGATCCTTAGGTAGGATGGGGATAATATTACTCCCCTCTCCCCAGCGTGCAAGTAGATCGCCTGTTGAGGCAAGGGTGGTCCAAGTGCTTGCTGTTGAGCCAGAGCTGGCTCAAGCTATACTTCCAGCTGGCCTGCCACCTTTTGTCAGGGGAGATGGGACCCAGCTGTGCTGTGCGTGCCTGAACGGCAAAATACCTCCTCCTGCGTGAGGGAGGCGTGTTGTCCCAGGGCTGCTCTGGCCCACTCTGCGGGGCAGGGACGGTGTCTCTGGTGTCACAAACGTGCACGTAGACAAGGTAGAGCTTGGAGCTGCCATAAAACCATTTCCCACCAAGAGACTCCCAACCAGGACTGGCCCCCGTGACTGCCAGGATTGGACCACCCAGATTTAGAGCAATTTCAGAGGAGGGGATTTTGAGTCTGTGCGCACACAGCTTTTATCACAGTGAGACCCTGATCTCTGCTGACTACTAATAAAAATAACAACAATAATAGTAATAATAATAATAATTTATTAGTAGAGTGCAAAGACATTAAGTGTTTCTAGTGTCTGGAAAATGAACGTGCATTGACTTCATTCACAAATGCCACTGCCACATGACTAAAGATTTGTTTCTGTGAATAATTACCAACATGGGCACACAAATTAGTTTGTAAGCAAATGTGAATTGAGCAGGCAAAAAAGTTGAAAGATATCGCCTTTTCAAATGCAGTTTTTAAGAGTCATCCATGGAAAATTTGGCCAGTAAGTAACAGGAGTCACCTGAAACTAACCAGCTAAGTTTTTGGTGTACCACATACCCTGCAGTAATTAAATGAGCTTGTGATTACCTGCTTCTGAGAAATCTCCATGGTTGAGATAACTGAAGGGTGCTGAAAAACAAATTAGCAAGGTGCATTAGTTTAAACTGGAAAAAGTAAACAAAATTACAGATGCATTTGCTTGATTTAAAAAAATATTAAACCCCCTCAAAAACCCACAAAAATCACCAAATTCATGCTTGCATAAATATCTCCCATAAATTTTCCCTGCTGCTTATGAAGCAGCTGACTTTAATTCTTAGAGTTTGCAACCTCTCCCATCCCAGAGACTGGCAATGAGCCTTCACATCAGCTTAAGTTCTTAATAAGCTTTATTTGAAAGGCTTAGAGGGCATTTAAGGGATACATAGGCAGATCCTCTGCACCAGGATGTATTCCAGTGTTGCCAGAGACAGTGAAATTTTTGCCAGTGAGTGATGTAAGAACAGGACAAAGCTCAGGGTATCTATCGTCTAATAGAAGATGATTAATCTAAGGCTGTTGTTTAATGTTATTGCAGTTTGAGGAAATAAGGGATGTTTTTTCAGCCCTTCACCGCCTTCAATTTCCTGTATTCAAAACATAGAGGTAACAGTTACAAATGTTACCAACAGAAACGTAAACGAATATCTTCTGAGCAGAAAAAAATAACCTTTTTTTTTGTTTTAAATATGATATGGTACATTTGCCCTTGACGTCATGTTTTAAGAATGTAGCAAATTGGTGCACATACTGAAACTGCTCATTACTTGGCAGGCCACTGAGTAATCTTGACATTTTCAAAGTGATATCTATAATTAGTGCCCAGTGAGAAGAAGACAATGGAGATCCTTTAAACCACAGTTTCATCATACACATGACATATCAACAAGTATAAGGAGAAATATAGTCTTTAAAATAATTATTAAAGATCTCATCCTTGCACTGGGAAGACACTGTCTCTAAGTCCCAAATTTCTTTATTTAGTATGGGCAGAAAATTCTGGCTAAGACCTTGCACAGCACATAGAAGAGAGGATGTTTGAGAAAGTCATCAAAAATGGGGCAGATGCAGATAAAATTTGATGAAAAAGCAATGTGAAAATTGAAGAAAAGCTATACAGAGTGATGAAAAAGCAAAATAAGAATACAAAGAATGAAGAAGGCACTACTAAATGGAAAAGAAAACCAGCAGGGAAGACATAGGTCTCCATTTTCCTGCTGTAATGATATGTCAATGTCACCTTCCTCACTAGTAATGAGGTTAATAAGAAATTGTGCCTGTGCAACAGAAATGAGGTTTGAGGTTTGTACAAGTTCTATTTATGAAGAAGTCACTGGCGGTAGCAGGGCTTCAGTTACCTTCCTTCTTTGTAACTCAGCCAAACTCAAACAGTCAAACACAGCCTTCAACAATAAATTAAAAAACACTCATTAACCAAAATTAACTCTGTTTTATTTTCTTTATTTTTTCAGTTCTTAAAGTTGTTATTTTAAAGAATTTCCTTGCATCTGAGAAATTTTGTTTGTCTGGGGTTTTTTTAAAAATAATTATATTTTTGTCCCAAAGTTGAGACAATAGAAAAATTAGCATTATAAATAAAATATTACTAATTAGAAAAGGAGTTTCATAATAAAATTTCAAACCAGATCAAGACACGATAAATGAGACTTCTTTGAGTTTGAAAACTCATGGTCTGTTTGGTTCTGGACTTTTTTCAGTTGACTTACCCAAAGAATACCAAGGCATTTAAAAATTTACATAGTGTCCCTCTGGAAACTTGAACTAGTTCCAGTAAACAAACAACCAGACAGATAGAGCCAGTTTGGGCCTTAAATTCCCTTGAATAATATTTAATTGATGCTATGGCTGTTAATGCTTACTTTGAATATCTGCAGCTCTTCCAGGACCACCTCCTCCTTTGTCCACTTCTCCTTTGTGATACTCACAACCTTCAGGACCGTGCCAATGTCTGAAACAAATGTTCATCACGTAAAATCCAGAGCTATGTTTCAGCATCTACATGTCACTCCATTTCATACCCTGAAGATAAAGCTAATGCATCAAAGATGTTGCCTTTAAACAACATCTGTCCCTACCTTCACCTATTGCTATCTACATAGCCCTATACAATACATTTATAGTTCCACTGTATGACTGAGCCAACACAACTGCAGGCTGCTCCTGGGAGGGACGGTCTAACTCTCCTGCTACAAAAACACACACACAAAGAGACCCAGCTTAGGGAACTAAATCTTCAGGAAGTAATTTCCTCCTTTTTATAGAATTAATTTTCATCCAGTGTAGCATCTTAACCAGAAGTAGTTTTCATTTTAATGTGGAGAGAAAAGCAACACACTTTTTTCATTAGTTTTTTCATTTCAGGGAAATTTTTGCGCAAAATCGTCAAAATCTTAATTTAACTATTACAGAAATTACTTCTTTGGACTCATCTAGAGAGATTTTTTTAAAGTTAAATCTATTAATCAATTTTAACCTGAATTCCTGCTTGGGGAATTACACATTGGTGAACCTTGAGTGGTCTTAAAAAGAACCCTTTAGAATCTGCTCAGGGGGAATGGGCTGGGTGCTGGGACATGCAGCACAGAAACGACATAGTGCAGCTCAGTCCTAAGCATCATGAAATGATGAAAAAATAATACACTATAATGGAAAGAATGAGATTTTGATTCTTGTTTTCCCTGAAGAACATATTACCAATCAAAGCCAAAATTATTTAAATTTGCCTCATGTATTAAAGTTTCTGCTCATTCGTTTGAATTGCCAAACCTGCATATTTACAAGGTGGTTGCTTATGGTCAAACATATCTCCTGAGTTATTTTACATATCTGTTCTTGTCCTCTCTCTATAATAACTGAAACTTTATCTTTGAGTTTATTTTTTTCTATAGGATATCTTAGAGGATACAATAGCACAAAAACGTGTTTCTGGAAAAGAAAGCTCACTTTTTAAGCAAGGCTCTGCAGACAAATAAATATCTGCCTATTATGGAGTGCCACCTAGTGACTGCATGGTGTGTGCTGGCCTTGACACCCTAAACTACTTTGAAAGAATTAGCATTGTTGCTGGGTAGGAACAGTTAACGTGTGACTGTCCGAGTTGCTCGTCTCTCAATATAATTTTATTTCTACAACAAATATTATAGTGAAGGACAGCAGACATCTGAAAGAAACTTCTAGCAACCACTAAAAGAACATGTGTACGTTTTAACTGTTGAACTCATCTTTTCAGATAGCTAAGTTTTAAATTAGTTTCTCTCACTATTATCAGCAAAGAAGTAAGTTCTAGGTGTATTCCCAAATCCTAGGCATCTCACAGCTTGGGGATGTGTTTCCTTTCCTTCTCTGTTGAATATATCAAGGACTGCATCCAGAAAGCAACAAGGATTTTCTACCATCACAGCTAAAGCTTATTCCCAGCCTTCTCTGGCAGCAGGAGACCAAGCAGTACTTTAATACTCATTTTTATGAAACTGTGTTTTTCTCTTTGACACCACTGTGCTTGACTTGTGGAGATCATAGAGGGACTCACACCATCTTTTTTTAGGAAGACAGGAGTTGTGAGGGGCAATGAGCTGAAAGACATAAATGATCCAAGAGACAGGCTATCTCTAGACTGTGTGACAGCCCAGCTGGGAAGATCCTGAAGGCTGATACAACCCACATTTTAAGAGACGTGATGCTCTGTGACCATTCACTCCTTTTCCCAAATCACTTCAGAATATCCATATCTACTAAACTACACTACATGCCATCAAATTTTTTTATGGGCCAGATAAAATGCTGTGCAACCCAAGAGCACTGGGGTAGGATTCAAACAGAAATCTTAATTTCCCTGCAGTTCATGGTAGCAGCTCACCCGCTGTCCTTGGATAAACCTTTTCACCTCCATGTACTTTGGCTTCATGTTTTGTGAGATGAGGATAATTGCAATGACTTCCTTAGAAAAGAGTTCAATATATCAGTGAGAAGTGCTTTATAAGACCTATTGCTAGTGAAAAAACTTCAAACTGTGGAGCAAGAAATTCCACTGGAGTAAAACTGTAGATTATTGCTTCAGAAACAGTTATGAACAGGTATGCTAATATTTCTTAGCATATCATGCTGTTGGGTGACTAACCCAGGATTCTAAATTTATTTGCTGTGGTAAAACTAGACTTTTTCCTTAAGATATATAACTGTCAAAAAAGTGTAAAGAGATACATAACTATCCATGAAAAATAAAATTATAAAACAGGTTTCTCCCCTGACAGAGTAGTTTAATCTCTTTGTTCATTCCTGGTCCTCTTGTTTGGAACTACTCATATTGCTAAGTAATACCTCTAAAAGCATCTTACTAGAACTGTTGCCTTAGGGTCAGTTTTAAATCTTTCTTAGCTGTTCAGTGTCACATGAAATTTAATGCTGAAACATCATATCACTATCGATAACAGGACATACTCTCTGAAGTTGTTAATTTTTTTTTCTTTTACCTGGTTATTCATGTGCTGCC